GCCCGACTTTTTCCTTCTTCGTTTTCTAACCCCAATTCGCCTAAATTCGATTTTTTTACTCAACTTCTCTTTAGATTCAGATACCCAACCTATGTAAACAAGAATCTACTCATAAACGACTCTACAATCGACACGATTTCCTCAAAAACTCAACAATCCCATCCTAACTCAAGAACGACAACCAATTTCAAGAACACAATTCAAGATCATCAAACTTTCAACTTTCTAGAACGAATTTTGCTGAAATAAGCATGATTGGCGTGTGGGTGAACAAACCCAACACTATGGAATCTTACATACCTGAAAGAACCATCTTTCTTGAAGATCTCGAAGGAAAATCTTGGAAGATGAACCCTAGCCTCAGCGTTTCTTGAATTCCTTGTGCGTAGAATTTTAGGAGTGGATGAGAGAGTTTGATTTAAGAAAACTGATTTTCTACACATTTAGGGCAATTTAGATGAATTCTTAAGAGTTTTAGGACTAAAATACCCCTAAAGAAATAAATAAAATGAGCTGTCGAAATAATTTTTCACCAGGCAGTGAGGTCCGTATGGGCTCCGTAACGCGGAGCCATCGCGGAGTTGTTGCCAGGTTTGAGCATTGTTAGTAAATCAATCATAACTTTTCACTCAGAGCTTGAAATTTAGAAAACTCGGTGGCGTTGGAAAGAGGACTTGAAGGGCTTTAATTTTCCATCTTGTAGCTCACTTACCAAATCATGTACTAGGAGTTATGGTCGTTTGAAGTTGACCCAAAACTTAAGAAAAACTTAGGAATGACTTGAATGTTTTTCTCTTGGTTCTTCTTGGAACTTAAGGTGTTACATCTAGTGACCTTAACACTTATGAAATTTTTAATTCCTTGGTAAAATCTCACTCACTACGAAGAACGGTTCAAGTCTTAGTTCAAAAAATTTCTGAGGTGTTACAAAACTATTAAATGAAGGATAACTATTAGAAGAAAGAAAAAAGCTCAATAATTTTCTTGAATTTTGAATAATTCAATTATTTAAATATGAAAAAAATACAAAGCTAATGCATGAATTATTTTTTTTTTCTGATACACTTAATCAAAATATATTAGTGCTACAAATATTACTAATACATCATATTCAACATTATTCTTATACAATTTTATCAAAACTACTCTTGAATAATTTAGCCATCATCTATGCACTCAAAAAATTACCATTAGTTAACAAATGTCAAAGAGGAAGGACACTGCACAAAAATTTTGAACATGGAGGACTATTAATAGTGAGGAATTATTATGAGAGTTCACTATTTTAGCATGAAACATGAAGAATTCGTTTGACCATGAGAATGTTTTGTTAATTTATTTTCATTTAAAAATTAATGTTGATCATAAAAATATTTAAATACAAGAATTTGAAAAACACTGAAATCTTATTTTTATTCTTAAATTTATTATAAATATTTTAAAAAAATTACTCTAAGTCTTATTGATTTTTTATATAAAAATGACCATGTTTAAATTATGTTTTATGTAAAGGACGTCAAACCATCAAATATTATTTGTAAAAATTATAATAGATACAATTTTAATTTTAAAATTTTAAATAAAGTGAAAAAGATAACTGCAGTAGTGATGGTAACTTGTATATGAAATCTAATTTAGGACATTTAGGTGAATATTTATTTTAAGTTATTTTTTTAAAACAGAATTTGATGGTACAATTCAAATAAATTAGTTAAATTACATGATTTACTACTTTTTAGAAATTAGAAATATAAATGATATTAGAAAAAATACATAAATATATTTTGTTAAAAAGCATCACCGAACAAAACTCCATCTCCAATGGAAAGAATTTTAATTTAAATGAAAAATATTTGATTTTCTTTTGCAAATACCACTTCCACCCCTTTCAAGGGTTTCTCAAGGGTTTTGCATCCCGGCAGCCATGAATCACGGCAAGAGAATCCTGAGTTCGCTTCGATTGAGGAATTCTCTGTTTTTCACTCAGCTTTCACGAGCTCCTTCTTCCAATCATCAGGTGACTCAACACTTAAATCTTTCTCCTTCACTTCTCACGCAAATTTACACTTCCACTAGTATTCTCGGTGCAAGTCAAAATGTCTTCTTTTCATCAAAAACTGAATCTTTTGTTGACATTATACTATCCAATGACTGGTCGAAACAATTAGAAAAGGATTTAGGAAAAAATGATCTTCCGGTGACCCATGAAGCTGTTATGTATTTGTTGAAGAAACTCGATAAAGAACCGCAAAAGGCTGGGGATTTCTTGAAATGGGTTGTTAAGCAAAATGGGTTTAAACCTAGTTCTTCTATGTACAGTCTGATGCTTAGAATTTATGCTAACAGGGATTCAATGAAGGACTTTTGGACTACTATTAAGGAAATGAAAGAGAACGGGTTTTATATTGATGAGGAAACGTATAAATCAATTCATTCTATTTTTCGGAATTTGAAAATGGAAACTGATGCCACTGCTTTAAAGCATTTCTATGGGAGGATGATTAAAGATAATGCTATGGGTGATGTGGCAAAAGATGTGTCTGAATTGATTACAAAACATGAATGGGGAGTTGAGGTGGAGAGACAATTAGGGGAGATGAAACTCCCGGTGTCGGATAATTTTGTGCTTAGGGTGTTGAAGGAACTTAGAGAAATAGGATATCCACTGAAAGCTTTCAGCTTTTTCAAATGGGTTGCGAGGAATTTAGATTTTCAGCACACCACCATTACTTATAATGGGATTCTTAGGGTTCTTTGCCGAGAAGAGTCGATTGAGGAGTTCTGGGGTGTGGTAAAAGAGATGATGAGCCTGGGGTTTGAAATAGATCTTGATACATATATAAAAATCTCAAGGCATTTTCAGAAGATTAAGATGTTGAAAGATGCAGTAGAACTATATGAACTGATGATGGATGGTCAGTTTAAACCATCACTTGGTGAGTGCAATATTCTTTTAAGATCCATTGCACAGTCACATCCCTCAGATCTTGATTTGCTATTTAGAGTTGTGGAAAAATTTGAGGCCGCAGGGCATTCACGCTCAAAGATTATTTATGATGTCATTCATAGGTGTTTGACTAACTTGGGGCGATTTGAGGAAGCAGAGAAGATAACAGAAGCTATGAGAGATGCAGGATTTGAACCTGACAATATTACCTACAGCCAATTAATATATGGACTTTGCAAAGTGAGGAGGCTGGAGGAGGCATCAAAGGTGATAGATGTGATGGAAGAATGTGGATGCATTCCGGATATCAAGACTTGGACTGTTCTGATACAAGGGCATTGTTTTGCTGGTGAAGTTGATAAGGCGCTGTTTTGTTTTGCTAAGATGATGGAGAGAAATGTTGATACAGATGCTGATTTGTTGGATGTACTACTTAATGGTTTTCTGAGTCAAAGAAGAGTTTTTGGTGCATATCAGTTATTGACCGAGTTGGTGAATAAGTTTCAAATGCGCCCATGGCAAGCAACATACAAACTTGTCATTCAAAAGCTCTTAGGGGAAAGGAAATTCGAAGAAGCGCTTGATCTACTCCGTCGGATGAAGAAACACAATTATCCACCTTTTCCAGAACCCTTTCTTCAATATATTTCAAAGTCAGGAACAGTGGAAGATGCAGTGGAGTTTTTGAAGGCGTTGAGTGTCAAGGACTATCCATCTGTTTCAGCCTACCAACATGTTTTCCAGTCCTTCTTTGCAGAAGGTAGACATTCTGAGGCAAAAGATCTGCTCTACAAGTGCCCACATCATATTCGCCAACACCCAGCAATTTGTGGCCTCTTTGGTTCGTCAAATTCTAACAGTGGAAAAGTGAAAAGGTTCCCCCGGCAGAGTTCGACTTCTGTGTAGGCACAAGGTGCAATTAGTGAAATCTGGGAGGAGGATTAAGCCTTAAGGTTAGTATCTGATAAGACCTCCCGATGCTAACCTCGCCAGGATCTTCAACTTTAAAAGACAATTACACAAGTTAATCAGATAGCTCCAGATATCACTCTATTAGCTGGTTCAGCCAATGCATGCAAAAATCTTGCCAGGTTCATGTCTTCAAGATCTTTCACTTGGAACCTGAATAAGGTTGATTTCCTTGTATTCGTTGTGTTTATTTCACGATTATATGCTCTTATATTTACTTGAAAAAAGTGGCAAGATGATAACTCACATGCTTCTGCTGCTTCACACAGTTGTTTACTGAGATGCAATGAGCCTTGAGATTCATTATTTAGTGCTATTCTGTCTCAAACTAGTGAAAATTGAGAGAAGTGGGTGACCCTACATAAATTCCACATATGTAGATATTTAACTGCATAATATTCCTAGAGATTAGCTAATTCAATAATAGCATGTACACCTGGAATTTTGAGTTTGTAATTCTCACCCATCTAGACTTATACCAGATTGTTTTCTTCCTCTACCGTTTCTTGAATTCTCAAGAATTGCTTCGCAATATACGTTGTGAATAGCTGAAACCATGATGAACCGTCATCCAGAGAAAACTGTTGCACAAAAGACTCAAAAGTCATCAAATTGGCTCAAATATGTGCTGGTGGGGAGGTAGTAGGTATCACGTGGCACAGTTATTTTTTTTTAATAAAAAAGAAGAAAGATTCGAAGTCATCAAAAGGCAAATTAGAGTAACCAAAGTATCTGATAGAATGTAAGACATGAAATTGTAGGCTGTTGCACAAATTGCTTGATGGCAACATGATTTGGTGCCTAAGCAAGGTAATTAAATGTAGTAACTGTTCGGCAGGTTTTAGTTCCCGTTGCTGTAGTTTTGACAAAATTGTAGATTCTATTCTGAGCACCTCGGCTGATATGTAATTGGTTAATCAGACTAAAAGTCAGTATCTCCGTCATCTAATTGAAGAAAATATCCAATGACATTGTGAAACTCTAAAGCTTTTCACTAGTTCAGGTTTAGGATTTGTAGATAAAAAGAGTTCGTCTAAACAAGATACTTATTCTTTACAAATAAAAGGTATCTTGTTTAGACAAACTTTCTCAAGAAAAAGATACCTTTTCCTTACTGGGATAGACTTGCTATAGAGTATCAATCATCTATTCCTCAACCCTCTTGCAAAAGAACTATAAGTGAAGCTGATAAATTTACAGCTAAGCTTCGTGCAAAATACACCCTAATTCTACTGCAAAGTTAGCTAGAACAGTAGAAATATGATCGAAACTGATAAGTTTACAGCTAAGCTTCGTGCAAAATTGCTCTTGTTTGTGTTGGTTAAATATCAAAGATCTTGCCAAGAATTCATCCTGTTACCACTAGTAAAGCTTATTTTTGGCAACTAATAAAACTTCGTTTGAAAGTATGAATGCAAAATGTATAAATTTCTTGCCGAGCAAAGATAGCTTGTATTGATCCATGGAGATATGTGTTGTTTAACTGCCTATTCTAGGTGATTTTTGCTGATGCTCTATCTCCTTTCTCCTCTTCATCCTGCACTGTAAATGTACACCTAGGTTTAGGTTTGACCTTTTTCAGTTTGGATCTTTCATCTATAGCCATTGAAGAGATATAAAGGAAGTATATTGTTTTCTAGGTAATTTCTTATAATGGAAAAAAGGAGTGCATTATAATTTTTTTTGTTGGCTCCTTGTGTAATTAGAAGTGGCATAATATCACATATATTGGGAAAACCCTTGAACACACAATCTCTTTTCTTTTGTTACTATAAAGAGGACTTGTAGGCTTTCTACCTATGTCAAAAAGAAGAAGATGACTAGTAGGTTTTCTTGTGGAACATATATTAGAATGCTATATGAAAGTTCCACTGGTAAGAGCACATAAACTATAGAAGTATATTGACAAGTAAAAGATCCAAATACTGCAATTAAGAACTACGAAGCACTATTGGAGTTGTCTTATGCCCTTTGTTTGGATTCTATGATATTCTTGGAGGTTTATATGCTCGGATTGTCCAATTTAGTAGTTTGCTTGATAATGTAGGAGAATTCCCTAAGTCCTTGCCCAGCTCTTCTTCCAGGGAAACAGTCTTTAAAGGTCGAAGCTTGATTCCAGCATTGTTAATTCTTTCTAATGAGTAACATGTCCATAAATGAGCAGTACTTATTGTTGCTCAATTGGAGTGATTGTACATATCGTGAAACGAAGTCACAATTAATGACTGAGAAAAGATGTGACATCCATAGTTTCTTCCATGATGTTTGATGTTTTCACCTCTTCAATCTATTTAGCCTTTATATCTGACTTTCCAGCAAGGAGGCCTCAGACTGGGATGGGGATGGAGGTGGGGGGTTCCTTGCAGTCTGCTTGGAACAATAAGAGTGAGCAGAATAATGAGAAGTCACTTGTTGAATCATCAAATATTCCTATTTACCATTATTCCAGCCAAATTTAGTTGGAGGGTTGTTTGATTAAATTCTGCAACTATTGTCCGTCATGAACTTGGGATGTGAATATATCTAATGTTGTCAATATAGTACATGCACTTCATTTCTAAAGCTTTGACATGGTAGTGTCTGATTTAAGTGTTGTAAGATTACTCAAATGATGAACTTCAAAAAAATCAACAAATTTGACTGTGCAGAAGTGCCTGGGTTTCTTTCTGCTTCTGCTTCTGCTGCCAGCCTGATAATTGAACTGATGGTGTTTGTGAAACTAGCAGTAATAAACATTCTGTTGGTTCAAGGGAAATTACGAACCGCCTGGCTACAAATCGTTGTTTTCTGCATTCACTCTGAACTGTCGAATTTGGAGAGTAATCTAAGAAGCTACTTCAGTTTGGGAGGTCAATGCCACCGTGCAGCTGAGAAATGCAGTTTTGGCCATCATGTCATTTTCATTTGTGTTATGTACACTCAAATGTGCAATATTTATGTTATCAGGTTGAAAATTTTGTTGTCATTACTTTTTCACTTTGTTTACCATTTGTCACTTGACAATTTTAAATTTTACACAAAGAACAGTCCATTTATTGTATTGGATTTTTCGGAGTTTCTTGTTATTGATTAATAGGTTTGAAGTTCTTATGCTACGTTACCACTTGACCGGTCTAGTCTCAACCTTCAACATAGAAATGACAGTTCAATGCACTAAAGCTCTAGCTATGCGTGAGGTTTAGGTTCAGGGAAGGCCCGAACCACAAAAATCTTCCACAAATTCACTCCAAAAACCACTCTTCAAGTGTGAGAATTGCCTTTTCAAATGCTCTTTTATTGAAGATCTGAAGTCATTATAATGCAGTTTAAATTGTAATTTATTGGTTACTGAATTGTCTCTTTCAGAATAAGTTGAGGGCACAGATTACAATATATCATTTTGAGATAAAAATAATATGTCACTAGCAATAGAGAGTTCTATTAAACTCATCCTTGAATATGTGATGAAAGTAGGTGCCAAATAAGTATGTTCTAGAAAAAAATAAAATATAATAACGTTGATTTTTATTTTTTTTGTGTGCGCCAAAATTTATTATCTCTACCTCCCTTATTGAAGAGTACATCTTCCTAACCTAAGGCCACTAATAGAGTTACGATTACAAGTTTCCATCTCCTATAGTAACCAACGTGAGGTTCTAGATAACATGGCCCCCCATACAATATCCCTCACTTAAGACAAAAGTTACTCTAAACCCACTATGAAGAAAAAGCAGGAGCCTCATCAAGATGAACAACATGATGTTGAAATCCTCAAGGCTGTGGCACAAGCCTGGCATGGCCACTCCAGCAGCCGTGGAACCACTACTGAATTCGACGCCCACCGCCACAATTTCAAGAATAAGCCATCAAGATTCAAGCTTGAAGCTATAAACAAGGCAACCTCCAGGGAATATGATGGCACAATTAGTAGATGGGATTTCAGCCAGTCTCTTTGGGATTCTTATGAGATACTCAATGTGTCCAAAAAGTTAGAAACTGGGCTAATGCTGGACCATCCATTGGATGGGTCAATCCAAATTGGGCAGAAGCGGAAAGAGAGTAAGAATAGCTTAAGAAAATTACTCAATAGGGTGTCTTCAAGAAGATATAATGAGGCTGAATCAACACTAGATAAGGATGGCTAATTTCAAGTAAAATTTGGTTTCATTTTCTAAAAGAAGCCAAGAGAGCTCTGTTTTTCGATTTTATGCTGATTCTTCTATATCTTTTACGCGATTTTTCATATAATTATCATCACTTAGCTGAGGGAAGCACAAGTTGCATTGTACTGAAGCCTGCAGCTTCATCCATCCACCAGTTGAGTGAATAAATGAAAAAACAAGGAGTGGCTAACGTTTAGCCACTGGGTGGGGATGTGTTGGTACCACTACAGGAAAACTGTGAATTACATGGGGATTTTTCTATGGATTAGTATGAAAATCCGTAGGAAACTTATTTTCCTGCAAATTTTCATACTAATCCCCAGAAAAATCCCCATGTAATTCACCATTTTCTTGTAGTGGGTGTTTTTGTTCCCGTCCCACGAGTCGAAGTCCCCACACTTTTCACATCAGTTAGAAGATTGATTGAGCTGCACTTTATAGAAAACGAATCATATGCTTTAGAGATAGGAGATTTAGGAAATATTCTCCTCTTTCCTCAACTGAATTATTGTACCTTGTTTTCGAAGATTCTTTCAAGATTGGAACTTGAAGGGACCGTTGTGGACCGGGAGAGTGCCCTTCAAGTCTAGAAGGGGTGGGGAGGGAGCAGTAATTTGTGAGCGTGTTGTGCAAGAGCTGGACATTACAGTAATGAACAAATAGGCAATTTCTCTGTTAACAAACGGTTAGTAGTAGAGTCTAACTTATGTGCACGGACAGTAAATAGTTTTCCTATGATCTACAATAACAAGAAACTATGCATGTCAAGTTTGATTTGGTACCTCAAAAATGCAATAAATTACCTGCTATTACTGGTAAAACTATAGTAATAGTGTACAAATGCTTTAATTGTTAGTGTATATAACATAAATCCTTAGTAAAACAGTTGCTTTATTGTTTTTTCTACTTTCAACTTGAGGATTATGCTTTCTCCCTTTTCTGCTAACTGTTGCTAGCGATAACAGAATAAAAGTAGAAGATTTGTTTTCGTAAGATGGACAACCTGTTGAGTTTTGGATATTGTTGACAGTGAGGCTTGCTTCTTCTAAGTTTTAGATGGATTAGGAGAAGCCGATGCAAATTAGATGAGGGAAAAATCTGGATGATACCAAAGCTAGTCCTATTTGATGAACTTGATGCAAAAGATGAGCAAATAGCTAGTAACTTCAAATTTCATTACATATCAAGTATTTGCATACAGATTAAAAGTAAATAGAACTGTAAAGACAGTCTATGGTCAAGTGCTATAAGACAGACATTTTATTATACCAGTGATTCAATATGACCTAATGGTCATTCATAACTGTATAGCCTACCAAGCAACTAGCTGTATGCTCAATAGACCTTAAAAGTGTCCATCTTTGCAAGCTCAAAGTTCTTGTGTTTCCTCTTGATGAAGTTATCAGCTTCATTATCAACCTTTTCCTCACTGACTTTATGTTTCTCCTTCCTACCGACTTCAGTGGTTCTGTCATGCTCCACAAAGTGGGCTTTCTTTTGAGCTTCAGGGGGAGGAGACCCATGGTGATATCCACTAGGAAAGTTGTATTTAGACCGATTGCCATACATATTGCTGTTGTTATTCCTTTGGATGAAGCTATCATCTTCATTATGAAACTTCTTATCTTTGACATCAGTTGTTCTGTCACGTTCCACAAAGTGGACTTTCTTTTGAGGTTCAGGAGCACGATACCCTTGGTGAATTCCACTAGGAAAGCTGTAGTTATACCGATTTCCATGCATATTGTGCTGTTCTTCCCAAATGACTCTCTCCTCTTTGATCATGGTGTGGCCATTTTGGTACCCGTATACATCAGATTCAACTACTGGCATTCTTGTTGTGCGAGCAATGTAATCCTCAACAGATCTGTCAGAATAGGGCTGCTCAAAGGAAGGGTAATGTGGTCTCCAAAACATTTTTCTTATTTTTGTTTGATTGATATGCTAAAGCCTAAACAAGTATAGCATTTTATAGTCAAAATACTTGTGCTGAGTATTCTTACTGGATGACGTCTAAGAGCACGAAAATAGCCCTTGAATCAGATGCCTTTCCCTTTAGTCATGTCAAACAGTGGATATTCCAGTTAGTAGAGAAGACGAATAAGCCTACTTAAGAGCTTAAAAGACATTTTATTCTTCTGTTATCTTTGAAGAATAAACATGTTGTAGTTTGTACGCTTCCAAGTTTGAAACTTCTGACCATATCTGTAGGGTTTGATTCTATTCAGCTTCATGATGAAACTAGATAAAAAAGTAGTTTTACCAGATAAGAATCAACAACAGGAAACAATGTTCTTCTCTTCTTCCCATTCCTAATCATAGAGAACCTCCTCACTTTTTAACTATGTTGATCGGATTCTCCAAAAATGTTGTCACACCCATGTCAGATCCTCCAAAAATACACTACTTTTGGAGGATTTGACACGCACTCGACAACATATGTGAAGAGTTCTAGCAACATAGCTTTGATGTTTAAAACATAACATTGACAATACTATTCTAAGTTTGTGGTGTCCTAAGAAATCATAATTTTGACCCCTTTGATAGAAGGAAAGCATCTCATTAATATATTCTGTTAATTTTCCTTTGTGAGAAATTTTAGCTGCTAAGGAACTATTATAATTATATCTCTGTGGAACAGAAAAGGTTGTGTAAATAATGTTTAACAATATCTCAAAATTCAGTTTGAAATTCACTAGCTAAGTCTATTTTGTCTGACAAAGTGACCTAAAAATCATCTTTTAAGACATTGCATTTCTGCCATCTTCTGAGGTTTTGTTCCTCTTTTATCTGAACTTGTCATACATACATCAATCTCACAGTTCTGCCCCATCATTAACGCGTTTCTTGTTCCAATACTAGCATGATGTTGGCCGATGTTACATGTAAATCCATTAAACTCTTTCATCGCAGTTTTCTTTGTACTCAAACCAGCAATTTTGCAAGTCTGCATCTGTTTCAATACTGTCATCTTTCTACATCTTTGGTCACTTTTCACCAATAGATTCGTATTCTTGCTCTTGCTCGTCATCTCTTTTGACATGACTAGAGAGACTCGTACACTCATCTACTTCATTAAAAATATTCACACCCTATTGCTACAACAATTTCTTGAAATAAATTATGCCTAATTTATTCTTAGCTTTATTCTGATAATTATGATGTAAAAGAATAAAAAGGCTTAGAACAGCAAAGGCCAATGGAAACTAGATAAGTTCAGACATAATACTATAGTTTCTATTAGATTAGATATAGACCAAACCAAACGTACAAATCTACTTATTAACTCTATGGGTACTACAACAAGGTAAACATGAAATGTTTTCTTCTCTTCTTCTTTTGGGAAGCAAACTGATTGTAAAACAGACATATATACATATAATATAGCAAACTATTTAGATTATTGAAGAAGAGTGAGTGCTAATAAGATGGAAACACTTTAGCATTACACTTTGAAAGTTCTCCATTTGTGAAGCTGAAAATTCTTGGGCTTCTCTTTGTCATTCTTGTTTGATTCCGCGAACTGGACCTTCTTCTGGGACTCAGTGTATTGACGATTCATGCTAGACTCTTTTCCTTCATAACTTAATTTGTTTTTGAAAACACAGTAAGCATTGGGATAGAGAGGGATATCAGGGTGCATAGTTGGGGCTTTCTCCATTTTTTTAAGATGATCAAGGTACTCATCATTGGACGTTGATTCCCAATATCGCATGGAGCTCATCTTTTCTTGATTTTCTCAAAGTAAATTAGCCTTTATTCTTACTGCTGAGTAATTGTAGCTTGAGCAACAGAATTTAAAGGACCAAACACAGTGCCTAAAACATTCCACAAGGACAGATAGATGCTGAGATTTGCGATTGAATCTGATTCCTTCTCATCAGTACTTGGTATCTAACTCTTGATATTTTGGCAGAGAATCAAAAGGGCTTAACTTTTTTAAGGA